ATAAATAAATAAGATATCATCACCGCAGGGAGGGGGCGATGATAACTTCCTCAATGGCTCAAGGGGGCGTTTCTTTCAAAAAGGTTAAGAACCACTGCTTTAGGGAATCAATCCATTTCATATTTCCTGCTGCCTTTCACTTTTCTCAGCATTTTTGTCTTTTCCAGAGATTCTTGCCTTCTCATGATGTGCCCAAAGTAGAACAAGCTCAGTTTTGTCATTTTTGCCTCTAGAGATAGTTCTGGCTTGATTTGCTGTGGGACCCACATTTTCATCATTCTGGCCATCTAAGATATCGATATTGTATCTTGCCTTACTATATTCTTTATGAATTGCTAAGTGAAGAATTTTTGAAGCAATGCCACAGCTTTCCTGATTGTTATAGACTTTTGCCCTCTATTTAATAATAAACATGAGCTTCTCAAAATAAAACACCCACCTATATCATGAGGCTAGTGATAAACTTGTGAGTTGGCAGTCCTGTGATCTGCCTCTCCCATACAACTTGGTTCCTTTTTAAACTGCTGATCTGTATCTTCAAAAGAACATCCCCTTCTCTCCTTAACTTATATTTCATATTGCCTATTGGGATTTGTTCAATTGGCTATTTTATCCTTGTAAATAAATTTATTTAAGGGAGAGTGAAAACCTACAGAGAAGCTCTGCACAGTATTCTGTTGCCAGCCCCGGCTAGTGCAGACCCATTGACTCAGTGGATTTATATACTGTATGTGTAGCCATTTGGAATTAATCTACTTTCTGTTGAGATTAACAGTTGGATGCAAGCCTATGTCACTACGAGGTTTATCTAAGAATATGTGAACAAAAGGGAAATAAACTTTAATATCCCTGAGAATTGGTAGTTGATTTGGTTGTTTATCTCATTGAGAGCAGTGGGACAAGTGAGTAACAAACTTATTCCATGATTTCAAAGGATTTTACTGATGTCTTTGCCACCTTTACACAATGATGGCCTGTTAAAGCCCTTGAAGGTGTAGACAAAGTTGCGGTGGCAATTTAAGAGGAAAGAGGGTGCCGAGGAAGAGAAAAGACAAGGCTAGATCTCAGAACAGTGGCTGAAGTCTCGGAGAATTGATATACAGTATATCTCTGACTCTCAAGATGAACAGTGCTGGAGGAACACAGTTCTGTAGTCCAAAAAAACAGCAGCATCAGCATCAACCCCACAAACACATTTATACACAATTCTGCACACCATTAATGTATTTCATAGCAATGGTATGCAACCTTACCAGGTTAAACAAATAAACCACTGTTTCTAGGCCCACCCCTCTTCTTCTGCTGATTCACATTTTTCCACGCTGGTCTTTTTAAAATCTTTTCACCCCTGTACTCTTTCTGTGGAGTTTTCCCTACGCTGCAACATTTTATTGCAAGTGATGCCTTTCCCTTTGCTCTCGATTACTTTGCTTTCATTTCGAATCCTCACAGTAGCACTTGAGATGATTGTGGGGGTAGTGCTTGGATGATGACCCCAGTCTGTGGGAGTAAGAAATTGTTGGCGGCTTCCAGCAGCTCCACTCTCACCAGGTCTGGCTTTATGGGCATGGCCTATAGATGTTTCCCTCCACTTAATTAAAGAGACTGATAAGTATCTAGGTGGAGTGCGCAGATACGTCCAAAATGAGCTAGCAGCTTAGGCTGTTTTGCTGCACCTATTGTTGAACGCCAAGATATAATATCAGATTAGTTCATTATATGTGCCTATTATTACACTGTGTTATTTTACATGACATCTTATAATTAATGCTGGTGCTCGAAACAAAACTATTTGACATGGGATGTGTCGCCTTAAATGCTTTCATGGTTAGTTAGGTTTCCGTCTCTTTCATTTTTTTAACCCTTTCTCAGCTTGGGCAGGGAGATTGCTGAGGGTTTTGTGTTTTTTTAAAAGAAAATTATGTTCCTATCTTTCAGTGCACGTGGTAGAGCAACAGGTTTTGTGTGCTTGGATGGATGAAAAAAAAAAGGAAACAAAATCAAGTACAACCCGATAATTTCCCATTACAAAGCTTATCAGATAAGCACATAGGAGAAATTTGGAAGCATAAAATCATTGTAAACAAAGGAAGAAAAGAGAGAGAGAAAGCTGGCTTCCTGGTTATTCAGACCTTTTTGCTGTAAATATCAAAGCACATTGGCAGAACATTTTCCTGTTGGTAACAACAACGATGTATCTGTCAGCACAGTGATATCTTAATTGACTCTCTCTCACAAACACACATCAAATTTAATCTGCAGGCAAGTGTAAATATGCTTGCAAGGAGACCTCTGAATGCCCATACATCAGATCAGGGCTTGGAAAAAGTTATATTTTGACTACAACTCTGCCAAAAAAAAAAAAAAAGTTTAGTGATGCATCTCTTAATGCAGTGTGACCATGTACCATTTTTGTTTTTGTTGTTGTTGTCAAGAGTTTATCACTGTATCGCTTCATCAGTGCATTTGATATCAGAACCACCTTCCCCATTCCCTCCACTTGGTTGATGAAACCACTTCCTCTCGCCCCTCCTTTCTACAGGCCCAAGGCACCCTGCTCTCCTCTCTAATACCCTTCCGCTCTCTCCCTTCCTTTTTTCTGCCTTTTCCTCTTTCACCCTTTCTGTAACTTCTATAAAGGGTTTCTTTCTCCTTTCCAGACATCTTTGGACTTTCCTCCTGTTTCCCCATTCCCTCCACTTGGTTGATGAAACCACTTCCTCTCGCCCCTCCTTTCTACAGGCCCAAGGCACCCTGCTCTCCTCTCTAATACCCTTCCGCTCTCTCCCTTCCTTTTTTCTGCCTTTTCCTCTTTCACCCTTTCTGTAACTTCTATAAAGGGTTTCTTTCTCCTTTTCAGACATCTTTGGACTTTCCTCCTGTCTTTCATGTACCCCATTCATTTTCCAGGGTCAACGGGAAGGGCCCTCCCGCAGAGGGCATTGTCCCCTCTCCTCCTTTCTAACAGAGGACTTTGACTTCTTTGGTTTAAGGCCCAGCATTCCAGCTGAGGGAATTCATGTGG